AATTTCCCACAAAAGAATGGGGTAGGTACCCAATACCCACAAAAGTATGAGGTAGGTACCCAATACCCACAAAAGTATGAGGTAGGTACCCAGTACCATGTAGAACATGACCAAAAGTACAAAATTTGATGGAAAATTTACAGAATTATGCTCACGCGAACTTAGCGGTCCGACAATATTTATGCATTGGCGATTTTGCGCACTGTGCCCCCTATTTCCAGCCAATTCCAGTGTTCCAGTCAACTATCATCATAGCTATTTTGCTAGAACTCCATTTGTTCTATCGATTGAGTAGAAGAAAAATCCCATTTACCGATTTCAATTACCCAATAAAGTGGTCAGAAATTGGCAATTTGGCCAATTCGGCAAGTTTCACACAAATTTCTAAAGATGCCAATTTCAAAATAGGGTCCAGAATAAACAATGCAGACATTCCTGGCACTAAAATAAAATTTTCTCTGTTCATCAGTCACATCTCCAGGTCCCTCTTATATTACTCTTGCTTTCCATTTTGAATTTTTATTTTCACAAAAAAATAGAAGATTTATTGTTACGCAGACTACTGCTTTATTGTAAAAATGGTATAAATAATATCAACGCACTAGTGAAAGAATATTAGACACGCTCTGGTGGCCTGGTGGTTAACGCTCTGGCTTCACACGGTGAGGGCCTGGGTTCGATTCCCAGCCAGAGTAGAAACATTGGACGTATTTCTTTCCACCTGTTGTCTATGTTCCCCATCAGTAAAATGGGTACCTGGGTGTTAGTCGACTGGTGTGGGTCGCATCCTGGGACACTGACCTAAGGAGGCCTGGTCACAGACCGGGCCGCGGGGGCGTTGACCCCCGGAACTCTCTCCAGATAAACTCCAGATAAACAAACGCCAGTTGACGTGTATTGGACGTGTGGCGTAATTTCTGTACTCTTGAATATCGGCAAAAATCGAACATTTTCACTAATTTGAGCTCAATTTCAAGGTTCTGCTTTTCATCATGAAACTAATCAAAATCATCCCTATTTCTGTAATATATCTTCCATTCCATCAAATGAGGCCAAGAAAACGAGATTACAACCATAAATACCATACGAAAATACACTGCAAAGTCGCTGTTTTAAACCAAAAACACAGTCAGAGTTTTTTCCTCATACACTGGGTGCTTCAGGTTTTTTTTATACTGCACACACACTGACCATGCAGACCCATTCTTTCATATGTAGGCCTACCAGCTTTTTTCCACCAGATTAAAAGCCGCTAGAATTTTGGCGTATAAGTATATGACCAACCCTGACTGTTAAGACGTACGTGTACGTGACCGACCCTCAAAGGGTTAGTACAACGATTGCATTGTGGAAACTTGCTGAATCAATGTTGCATCTGCAGTGCCAGACTTCTGGCAGATATTAACCTTGCAGATGCTACCAGCTGTGTTAGATGTGTGTGGATGCTACCAGCTGTGTTAGATGTGTGTGGATGCTACCAGCTGTGTTAGATGTGTGTGGATGCTACCAGCTGTGTTAGAAGTGTGAGGATGCTACCAGCTGTGTTAGAAGTGTGTGGATGCTACCAGCTGTGTTAGATGTGTGTGGATGCTACCAGCTGTGTTAGAAGTGTGAGGATGCTACCACTGTGTTAGAAGTGTGGGATGCTACCAGCTGTTTTAGAAGTGTGAGGATGCTACCAGCTGTTTTTAGAAGTGTGAGGATGCCCAGCTGTGTTAGAAGTGTGAGGATGCAAACCAGCGTGTTAGAATTTGTGAGGATGCTACCAGCTGTGTTAGAAGTGTGAGGATCCTACCAGCTGTGTTAGAAGTGTGAGGATGCTACCAGCTGTGTTAGAAGCATGAGGACCCTACCAGCTGTGTTAGATGTGTGTGGATGCTACCAGCTGTGTTAGATGTGTGTGGATGCTACCAGCTGTGTTAGATGTGTGTGGATGCTACCAGCTGTGTTAGAAGTGTGAGGATGCTACCAGCTGTGTTAGAAGTGTGAGGATGCTACCAGCTGTGTTAGAAGTGTGAGGATGCTACCAGCTGTGTTAGAAGTGTGAGGATGCTACCAGCTGTGTTAGAAGTGTGAGGATGCTACCAGCTGTGTTAGAAGTGTGAGGATGCTACCAGCTGTGTTAGAAGTGTGAGGATCCTACCAGCTGTGTTAGAAGTGTGAGGATGCTACCAGCTGTGTTAGAAGCATGAGGACCCTACCAGCTGTGTTAGAAGTGTGAGGAAATGCTACCAGCTGTGTTAGAAGTGTGAGGATGCCCGCTGTGTTAGAAGTGTGAGGATGCTACCAGCTGTTCTTGAAGTGTGAGGATGCTACCAGCTGTGTTAGAAGTGTGAGGATCCTACCAGCTGTGTTAGAAGTGTGAGGATGCTACCAGCTGTGTTTGAAGTGTGAGGATGCTACCAGCTGTGTTAGAAGTGTGAGGATGCTACCAGCTGTGGTAGAAGTGTGAGGATGCTACCAGCTGTGTTAGAAGTGTGAGGATGCTACCAGCTGTGTTAGAAGTGTGAGGATGCTACCAGCTGTTCTTGAAGTGTGAGGATGCTACCAGCTGTGTTAGAAGTGTGAGGATGCTACCAGCTGTTCTTGAAGTGTGAGAATGCTACCAGCTGTGTTAGAAGTGTGAGGATGCTACCAGCTGTGTTAGAAGTGTGAGGATGCTACCAGCTTTTCTTGAAGTGTGAGGATGCTACCACCCTGTGTTTAGAAGTGTGAGGATGCTACCAGCTGTTTTTAGAAGTGTGAGGATGCTACCAGCTGTTTGAAGTGTGAGGATGCTACCAGCTGTGTTAGAAGTGTGAGGATCCTACCAGCTGTGTTAGAAGCATGAGGACCCTACCAGCTGTGTTAGAAGTGTGAGGATGCTACCAGCTGTGTTAGAAGTGTGAGGATGCTACCAACTGTGTTAGAAGTGTGAGGATGCTACCAGCTGTTCTTGAAGTGTGAGGATGCTACCAGCTGTGTTAGAAGTGTGAGGATGGTACCAGCTGTGTTAGAAGTGTGAGGATGGTACCAGCTGTGTTAGAAGTGTGAGGATCCTACCAGCTGTGTTAGAAGTGTGAGGATCCTACCAGCTGTGTTAGAAGTGTGAGGATGCTACCAGCTGTGTTAGAAGTGTGAGGATGCTACCAGCTGTGTTAGAAGTGTGAGGATGCTACCAGCTGTGTTAGAAGTGTGAGGATGGTACCAGCTGTGTTAGAAGTGTGAGGATGCTACCAGCTGTTCTTGAAGTGTGAGGAATAAAGTACGAAAATACAGTGGACCCCCGCTTAACGATCACCTCCAAATGCGACCAATTATGTAAGTGTATTTATGTAAGTGCGTTTGTACGTGTATGTTTGGGGGTCTGAAATGGACTAATCTACTTCACAATATTCCTTATGGGAATAAATTCGGTCAGTACTGGCACCTGAACATACTTCTTTAATGAAAAAAGTTCGTTAACCGGGGGTCCACTGTAAGTGTTAAAGCAGACTGGTGAAAGTTGTGGCTCACAACTTTCACCAGTCTGCTTTTAACACTTAGACGATGTGAATGGCCTCTTAGAAGATAAGGATGAAGACAGGAGTCCTGAAGGAATGTTTGGAGAGCTCACTGTAGAGATACAAGGAAGGAAGATAACAGAGTAAGATGAAGATACGGGCCAGGTCTCTAGGCTGCACTACCAGGCCTATCCTGGTAGGGCAGAGAGAGAGAGAGACTGAGAGACTGAGACGTTCTTGCTTGTATGCTGTCTGCTATGATAACAAGAGGGATGCAGCACGTCGCACAGTGAACAGAAGGTAGGCTATGGTCACACAGGTCTACAGTGACAGCTCTCTCTAGCGGTAGTCGTTGGAAATGGGTTTCAGTTTGGGGGGGATGTCCCCGTTGTGCATTGCCACAGCTATGTAAACTCTGCCATATTATTGGTAAAGTTGCAGACTTTTTCACTTAAGAGAAGCCTGACAAATCTAGAAACATTGCTGTGATACATGGCCTAGAGCAGCTGGTGATGCTTATCGTCACCTGCAAGTGACACAGCCTAGAAAAGCTGGTGATGCTTATCGTCACTTGTAAGTGACATCCTAGAACAGCTGGTGATGCTTACCATCACCTGTTTAAGTGATGTTGGGCGAGAGGAATTCTCACTTCTCCAGTATAGCCATGGGCTCTAGTGCCAGAAACCTCATCCATTTTCCACACCTTGCTGACAATCCCCCAGTCATTCCACCCCAGCTGACAATCTACAACCATTTCCACCTCAGCGACACTTTCCCCAACCATCCACCTCAGCTGACACTCCACAGTTTATCCACCTCAGCTTGACAATCCAAAAACCATCCACCCCAGCTGACACTCCACAACCCTCCACCTCAGCTGACACTCCACAAAACCCTCTGCCTCAGTGGGCAATCCACAACCATCTGCCTCAGCTGACAATCCACAACCATCCACCTCAGCTGACAATCCACAACCATCCACCTCAGCTGACAGTCAACAGTCATCCACCTCAGCTGACACTCCACAGTCATCCACCTCAGCCCCCGTAGGGCCAAAAGCATCCTCTACAATGTTCGGAAAACATCAACAAAACACTAGCAACCAAAAGTGAAGATAATATTATTCCTGTGAATATTTGTAGCAAAAAACTAATGTATTAACATATTACATCAAGACCAGGTAAAAAGTTATATTATCATTTCATTTGTTTTTCAATTTGGAGACCAAAAGCAAAAGGTTGTTTACCATTTTTAAGGACCCAAAGAAAAGGAACCTTATTTTTCCCATAAATCCTTTGGTTTGTTTTAGGACAATTTTAACTATACACAACCTTAGGAACGTAAACTACTGTTAATTGATGGTCTACTGTACGTCATGCTGGAGGTAGGCCAACGTTTTTGACCAGTCTCGACCTGGTCACTGCCTATACACGGTCGTAATTCGAGTGGAAGTATGCGAGTAGGTCGTAAGTCGGGGGTAGGTGTATTTGATGAGTCCATTTTTTTTATCAATTTCAGGATCAAAATTATGCCCCAAAAATAGGCCTGGTGTTCGTGCGCATGGGTCAGTACTCTGAGGCATGTACTAGTTTTGAGTACATCATGCAGGAGGAGGCTAACTTCAAGACTGGCCTGGACCTGGTCACTGCATACTTCGCCCTCGGCGATAAGGAACGCATGAAGAAGGGATTCCTGCGCTTGTTGGAGTGTCAACTGGATATTGATGATGACGAGAAGTATACCACCACTACGGTAAGTGTATTGACATGATGAGAAGTATACCACCACTACAGTAAGTGTGTTGATGATGACAAGAAGTATACCACCACTGCAGTAAGTGCATTGATGATGACGAGAAGTATACAACTATGACGGTAAGTATATTGACGACAATAAGAAGTGCGTATGCAACTACGACGGTAAGTGTATTGCTGATAACAGGTATACAACTATGACAGTAAGTATATTGACGATGACAGGGAGTATACAACTACAATGGTAAGTATATTGATGACAATAAGAAGTATAGAACTATAGCAGTAAGTGTTTGTATTAATGTCAAGTATACAACGACTTAGACTAACTTTATTATCCTGTGTCATCATCATTTAATACAGTTGTTAGACGAAGTGTCAACTTGCAGGAGGACACGCAGGCCAACCTCATACTGGAGGTGATCCGTAACGACCCACTGCGTAAGATGGAACGACAGATGAAGCAGGAGGCGGAACGATCCATCCTCACCGCCGCCAAGCTCATCTCTCCGGCCATCGAAAACAACTTCAGTGATGGTTATAACTGGTGAGGTTCCAGTCATACCCAGTCTTAAGACTGTGTATAGCTTCTGCCACTTCCTTGTCAATCCTCATAGTTTGTGTGTTTTGCTTCAAGCTGAATTACTGAACAGTATTGTTCCAGTCATGGTATTATGCTTTTTTGTTCATTCTGAACAATATTGTACCAACAGATGCTATATTCCTACCTCATAACAGCAGATTCAAGGTACTAGTAACATATTATGTATATACAGTGGTACCTCGAATTTTGAACAGCTCCCAACTCAAACAATTATGTAAATGTGTTTTTGGAGGTCTGAAATGGACTAATCTAATTTACATTATTCCTTATGGGAACAACTTCGTTTGGTAACGGCACTCGAACAGCCTTCTGGAATGAATTATGGCCGAAATTTGAGGTACCACTGTAGTATATACATATACAGTGGACCCCCGGTATTCAATATTAATCTGTTCTTGAGAGCTCATCGAATACTGAAAATATCGAAAAGCGAATCAATTTTCCTCATAAGAAATACTGGAAATCAAATTGATCCATGCAAGACACCCAAAAGTATGAAAAAAAAATTTTTACCACATGAAATATTAAGTTTAATGCAATAGAATAATTACAATAACAACAATAACAATAGAATAATTGACACTTACCTTTAATGAAGATCTGGTGGTGATTGATGGGATGGGAGGAGGGGAGAGTGTCGAAGTTGTTAGTGTTTAGAAGGGGAGTCCCCTTCCATTAGGACTTGAGGTGGCAAGTCCTTTTCTGGGGTTACTTCCCTTCTTCTTTTAATGCCACTAGGACCAGCTTGAGAGTCACTGGACTTCTGTCGCACAACATATCTGTCTATAGAGGCCTGTACCTCCCGTTCCTTTATGACATTCCTAAAGTGTTTCACAACATTGTCAGTGTAATAGTCACCAGCACGGCTTGCAATAGCTGTGTTAGAATTATACCTTACTGAAGCAGCAATTCAGTAAACCCCAGGTTTACTGAATCGCTGCTTCAGTAAACCTGGGGTCTTGAGCTCCTACCACGTCTCTCAAGCGTTCGGGAACAATCTTCTTGACTAATGCACTGGAAGCCAAACACGAAGACAGAAAAGCAGGTAAAGCAACATGTGTTGCTTTGCGCATCCCTATACCTCCCAGTTGCACTGGGAGGGTTGCCTGATCCCATTGCTGATCCTCTAGTGACAGGTTCAGTGCCTTCTTAAAGGTTGACCTCAGGTGTGTGTCATATTCGTTGAGTGTTGGGTTGTCAAAAGAGGGTGCACACCTCAGAAAGTAAGTGAGTCTTGGAATAGTAAGGCACCTTGTGAGGAGATACAGAGCATCATGGGCATCAAGATTGCTTATTCTCTCCTCCATTCTCATCAGGTCATTCAATTTGTCCTTGAGGACTGTGTCGATGGCCTGGTGACCCAGCGGTTCTCCCAAGAGGGTACTGTTGGACGGAATGGTAATAGAGACTTCTGGGAGGATTCTTCGCACAGCATTGAATATTTCCTGGTTCGCCGTGATGATTTCACACTTGGAGGGATTGAGGACGAGTCCCAAGTCTTCTCCCTGTGTTTTCACCAGTTGTAGGTCCCCTACCAGGGACTCTTCAGTACCTGCCAGAGTGCCATCATCCAGGTACCAGATGTTGAGCTCGCTGCATAGGCTGGAAGTTAGTTCTTTTACTGCCAAGCAGAAGAGAAGTGGAGCTAGTGGGTCACCCTGCTGAACACCTTCTGATGAGAGAATTTCATGTTCTCCAAACAAAAGAATTGAGGGTTTGCTGTAGCCGGCTGAAATGAAGGGAAAAAGACTGGGGAACCGATCCCGAACAGCTGGCAAGACAGCATCTCTCTTCACCATATTAAAGGCATTTCTAAAATCAAGTTTGACTATGGCATTGTCTTCTGGTAGGTCCCTGATGTAGGCCTTTGCAGCATGAGCTGCAGCTTCACTGCCTTGAGAGACCCGAAAGCTCAATTGGTGTGGCTGAAGTAGACTGGCAGCTTCTAGGTGAATGTTTCTTACTGCTGCTTTGGCAACAAGACAGCGAAGAGTGTTTCCAACCACAATGGGTCTGATTCCCCCATCCTTCTTCTTCAACGCACACAGTGAGGCTCCAAAAAAGAAAGGTTTAATTTCTTCTGGGATTCGCCCAGCCAGGCAGTTGTTGACGAAAGTTGTTAACTCGGTGAGAAGAATTGATGCAGATGCACCGAGTACTGGATTTACCATCTCTTTGAGGTGTTGAGGTCGAATTCCAGTGCAACCTCCTGCAGATCCTGCTGGAAATGACACAATCGCCTTATAGACTTCCAATTCTGGCAAAATTAATTGTTCAGTGATGGGGTCTTCCTCAGGGTTGTCGTTGATGGCTATGGTGTCCCTGGTTGGATGCTTGTCTCTTAGTGCTTGGTCCATGCTCTCATCTTTGGGGGCTACAGTGTCGTCACTTGTAATTATTCGGATTGCTCCCACTGTGTTACCTTCTTCGATTTTTTTGCTAACATGTGTGCAGATTTTCTCGTTTTCAGTGGGACTTTTCTTGGGTCTACCTCTGTTATTCCTGCGATGATGGGGCAGAGGGACACAATTGTCCATTCTTGGGTAGTTGCTCACTGCCTTGATAACTTATGTGGTTAGCAGTTTGTCTTATCTCTCAGGAATTGTAAGACAGACATTGCCGAACAGGAGTAGGTTGCGCCATGCTTGGATGGTGCCTCGGGCTTCTAAGTTGGTGGAACCTCCATTCACCTGCTTAAGAAGGTCTGTGAATTTCCCTGCTGCATATGGGTGAGCCGCTTTAGGGATGTGGGATAGTGTACTGCTAGCAGTGGATTTGAATGTCAACAGAAGGTTATCGCAAGTGACGAGGTTGCCATTGGAATTGTCATCTGCCTGTGGAGGCTGTGGGCTGCTCTCTGCTGGGGGCATATGTGATCCCGCACACCCATTGTGCGCACGAATGCGGCCATCCCTGTTTCGTGCTCGAAACTCTCCACACACCTGACATGTGCCTCTTCTTTCATTGTTGAGTGCATATATATAAGATGAGCAAAAATTTGCGTATGCAATAATTTCACAGAAATCATACTGAACCTAACGAAAAAAATATATTTCATTGTGTTTGTTTATTATTAAATTATTGTAAGGTTAGGTAAGTTTTCTGTGGTTCTTTTGGTACAAAATTATTAATTTTTACATTACATAAATGAAAAAAAATATACCTTTAAACGTATAAGAATTTTTCTTAGAAGGGATTTAATTTTAAATGAGTTCTTGCTAATTGACCAATTTTCCCTATTCGGCACGACATACACGTATATATATATTTTTATTTACTTTTTTTATTAACACATCTGCCGTCCACCAAGGGAGGGTGGCGAGCTTACACTCCAGTTATAAAATTGCAACATTAACACCCCTCCATCTCCAGGACCCATGTCTGTGTGTGTGCATGCAGGAAAATATTGTTTTAGCCATAGAGTTGTAAATAAGTGCGAAAACAAACTTAAAAACCTGCTGAGTAAGCATTGTGTAGGTGATGATCTTGTGTTTTATGGTGTTGTGGATAGTTGAACCTACCTAGGCATGGATCCAGCACCATGTATTGGTGTGTGATAGTTGAACTCCTAGAATGTGTTCCAATGTACATTTGTACTTGGTGTGTGATAGTTGAGAACCTACCTAGCATGGTCCAGTACATGTATTGGTGTGTGATAGTTGAACCTACCTAGCATGGTCCAGTACATGTACTGGTGTGTGATAGTTGAAACTCTACCTTAGCATGGTCCAGTACATGTACTAGCTGTGTGATTGATTGACCTACCTAGCATGGTCAGTACATTATAATAGTGTTGTTGAAGTTGAACGCCTATCCTAGCCTAGGACCAGTAGACTCTTACTAGAGTGATAGTTGAACCTAGCTCTAAATGAACCCTAACTTAACCTTCCAAAGGTGTTGGAAGGTAATCTCAAAAACTTCGCAGTACGCAGACCTCTGGCCAACGACCTCCTGGAGATCAAACAAGGCTGTGATGTTCTGCGGCTATGAAGAACTTCAAGGATGCTGTGGACACTCTCAAGATGGTTTGAGAAGAAGTCTAAGAGACCTAAGGTTGCCAGTACTGCTGCACTAACCTCTCGTCTTGTACTTCTGGTGAGTGACCAAGGTGGCCAGTACTGCTTGCCACTAACCTGTCCTTATCTTGCTATTCATGGTGATGTGAACCAAGGTGGCCAGTATGCTGGCCACTTAACCTCTCCTCCTCTGTACTCATGGTGACGTGACTAAGGTGGCCAGTATTGCTGCTACTAACTGTCTTGTTTGTACATTCTGGTTGAGTGACACAAGGTGGCAGTACTGCTGCCTAACTAACCTGTTTTTCTTGTTGTTTCTTACCTTGGTGAGTTAGTGACCAAGGTGGCCAGTACTGCTGCCATCTAACCTGTCTTTGTTTCTTGTTAGTCTCCTTTCACCTGTGTCACTGTTCACACCTACGCAGTATTTAGTACCTTGGTGTTAGTGGAATGGTTTGCTGTGGGCGACATCCGGTGGGCCAAAATTAATCGCTATTAGTTACGTGAAGGCACCAAATAAATACAAGGGGACTCCTTCCGTCGCCAGGAGGACAATATTAGTTGATCTTGTCTTAACATATCAAGGAACGGGGTTAGTCTAGATGGGTTTAGGAACTCAGACTTCAATTTAGGGGGACCATGGTTCGAAGCCCCTTACGTTGACACTTGGTTATTATAGCTTAGTTCATTAGGAGAAGTAAAATTTGTGGCAGGATGTATACAAGCTGTCTTTCATGGCAATTCAGTGTATGTTTAGTTGGTGTATGTCACTGTGGAGTCAGTACAGTCTTCACGGTAATTAAACAGTGTATGTATGGTTGGTGTATGACCCTATGGGTCTGTTGTATGTTAGTGTTGTTTGTGGTGTTTTGGCTGGAACCGCCACAGTGTTGTTTTGTGATGTTTGCTGGACCGCCACATTGTTGTTTGTGTGTTTGCTTGGACCGCCTCAGTGTTGTTAGTGTGTTTGCCTCTGGACCAAGAAACAGTGTTGTTTGTCGTGTTTGCTGGGTCCGCCACAGTGTTAGTTTGTGTGTTTTGCTGGACCGACACAGTGTTGTTTGTGTGTTTGCTGGACCGCCCACAGTGTTGTATGTCGTGTTTGATGGACGCCTACAGTGTTGTTTGTGTGTTTGCTGGACCGCCCCAGTGTTGTTTGTGGGTTTGCTGACCGCACAGTGATGTTGTGTTTGTTTGCTGGACCGCTCTCAGTGTTGTTTGTGTGTTTGCTGGACCGACACAGTGTTGTTTGTGTTGTTGCTGGATCCGCCACAGTGTTGTTTGGTGTTTGGCTGGACCTCGCCAGCAAGTGTTGTTTGTGGTTTGCTGGACCGCCACAGTGATGTTGTTTGTGTGTTTGCTGGACCGCCACAGTGTTGTTTTGTGTGTTTGCTGGACCGCAACAGTGTTGTTTGTGTGTTTTGCTGGACCGCCTCAGTGCGTTGTTTGTGTGGGTTTGCCTGCGACCGCCAACAGTGTTGTTTGTGTGTTTGCTGGACCGCCACAGTGTTGTTGGTTTGTTTTGCTGGACCCGCCACAGTGTTGTGTGTGTGTTTGCTGGACCGCACAAGTGTTGTTGTTGTGTTTGTGGACCGCCACAGTGTTGTTTGTGTGTTGCTATGGACCCCGCACAGTGTTGTTTGTGTGTTTGCTGGACCCCCACCTCCGTGTTGTTATGTGTGTTTGCCTGGACCGCCACACAGTGTATGTTTGTGTGGTTTTGCTGTGACGTCCACGGTGTCTGTTTGTGTGTTTGCTGGACCGCCTCAGTGTTGTTTGTGTGTTTGCTGGAACCGCACAGGGTTGTGTTGTGTGTTTGGCTGGACCGCCACATTGTTGTTTGTGTGTTTGCTGGACCGCCCCACAGTGATGTTTGGTGTGTTTGCTGGACGCCACAGTGTTGTTTGTGTGTTTGCTGGACGCCCAGTGTTGTTGTGTGTTTGCAGGACCGCCACAGTTGTTGTTTGTGTGTTTGACTGGACCGCACTGTGTTGTTTGGTGTTTGCTGACCGCCCACAGTGTTGTTTGTGTGTTTGCTGGACCGCCACAGTATGTTGTTTGTGTGTTTGCTGGACGCCACAGTGATTGTTTGTGTGTTTGCTGGACTCGCCACAAGTGTTAGCTTGAGTTGTGTGTTTGCTGGGGAACGCCACAGTGTTGTTTGTCGTGTTTGCTGACCGCCACAGTGTTGTTTGTGTGTTTGATGGACCAGCCACAGTGTTGTTTGTGTGTGTGCTGGACCGACACAGTGTTGTTTGTGGTGTTTGATGGACCGCCCACAGTGTTGTTTGTGTGATTTGTGCTGACACGACAAGTGTTGTTTGTTATGTGTTTGCTGGACCGCCACAGTGTTGTTTGTGTGTTTGCTGGACCGCCACACGTGTTGTTTTGTGTGTTTAGCTGGAAGCCACATGTTGTTTGTGTGTTTGACTGGACCGCCACAGGTCTTGTTGTGTGTCTTGCTGAAGACCACGCCACAGTGATTGTTTGTGTTTTGCAGGACCGCCACAGTTGTTGTTTGTGTGTTTGCTGACCGCCACAGTGTTGTTTTTGTGTTTGCTGGACCGCCACAGTGTTTGCTTAGGAACGGATATTTGACAGTAGCACAGAGGAGCAAAGATCTATAATGATCATCTGGAGTATACCAGGGGATTATTTCTGGAGTTTCCCCTGGATTATACATGGAGTTATTGCTTGTAATATACCTGTAGTATACATGGAGTGTATGTACCTCCAGTTTACTTGGCTTTATACCGTAGATGGTATAGCTAAAATATACCCTGTGAGTTTCTAGCTAAAAGATCATGGGTTATAGCTAAAATTATTCTGTAGTTTACTTAGTGGTAGTTCATACATGGTATGTTATTAGTGCAGTTAATGATCCATTTTTTAAACCTCTTTTTTTAATTACCTGGTGTATACCTGGAGTATAACTCGAGGTTATACCTGGAGTCATACCGTTAGTATATCTGGAATATAATAATATAAAATACAGAGCCTATAACTTGCCAAACCTATAAACCAATTTATTTTACAATAATGTTGCTCCTTGTAGGCTTAGGCCTAAGCTCACACGCATAAATTGTATCGGAGAATGACAAATTGACAATTTACACATAGTGGCATCGCTTGGCGTGTCTTTTGGCAACGTTTTCCACCGGTGTTACACCAGGGTTGTATGCACACGTGTAGAATATTTATCAGGCCTAGACTTACCTAAAATTCTCCACATTTACTATAGGCCTATGCTTTCCAGTTGTCAGGCATTACCGATATAAACATTGTATTTTGGAGGAAATACTCTGTATGTGTGTATTGATGCTGTATTGTAAGTTGTCTGCTTGTTGGCGAAGACATCAAGTTTATGGAAAAATATAATAATAAATCTACTTTTTTAAAAATTATATTATGCTCATTATATGCCTTTCATGTCATCATCATCATCATAATAATAATAATACAGGGTGATTTTTGACCTAAGATATTGTAGTCTTACAATATTTCAACTTTACAATACTTTCAACTTACAAGATACAGCTCTCTCCTTCATTTAATGACGGGGTGTTCCGTTCCTAAGACAACGTTGAATAAAAAGACAGGTTCATCGCACCAAATCAAGGAACCACACCTTATAAGTTACTCAAGTATTTATATACTCGGTCTCATTGGATTCTAGCTGTTGTATCTGATCGTCAAATACCAGATCGCTATTAAGCTCTCCAAGTTCAATTATTGTTCAAATTTCATTGTATCAATTCTCTTAGTAATTAATAATCAGCTACCTCATTTTGGATTTTACCTAGTAAGCATAGGTCACTGATGTGATTTTGTAGTTTACTATTGTTCGCTTAAAACAGATTAGCTGTAATTGATTTCTCTGTCCATATTAACTTCATCACTATTTTTTTTTAAATCTATCACTTGATATTACTTGACTAAAATTACATGAAATATCTTTTTTACTAATATATTTCAATTTACTCTTAACAATTTTGACGACTTTAATTAATCCATTACTTGTCTATTTACCTTTACCTGTTTTATACCTCATTTACTAGCATAAGGATTACTCTTAATTACCTTGTACTGAAATATAACCTACAAGTATAACTACAGTGACAATATTGAACTGAAAATAAAAACATTAACCTTTTTCACTTTTTTGTAATCATTATTACTTACTAAGAAAATTTATGAACACCATATTATAGACTACCAGTCAATTTTATTTTTGTACATAAAACATTATTTTATACTTCTCTTAACATTTTGTAGCAAAATTTTTCAAGTTTTTTATTTTCAATCCCCAACCTTCTATATTATCCCTTGTACCTGTGTACTGTTCTTACTCCTCTTACTATCCAATTATAATCAAGACTTTACCATTGTTATTTTTTTTACTATTATTTTTTGGTACTTTAATTGGGAATTTTATTTGGTCAATTTAAATCTAGGTTATAATATTGATCTTGTCAAACAACCTATACCGACTCTAGTGCATTGAACTCAATACCATTTCAAATTGGATTGTTATTTTATAAGTTTATATTATAATTCCTATCCATCTGACCATTTTAATCTTTGACTTACCATTAATAATTTAGTCCTTATATGTTTTCTCCTTTATTTTAGCTTTATATTACTATCCTAGTTTATATATTCACAATTGTTTTAAACTAATCAAGGTGTATTCTTTAGGTGCTAAAGTAGAATAAGTGTACACAATTTTGCCATTAAATTCCAAGAAGCTTCATTTTTTGATTACCACTTTATCGTCACCACAACCTATATTAGTCCCTTTTTTATTTATAATATTATACTATAATTCTAACTTAAGAAAAATTTAACTTTTTAATAGTACTATATCTATCATTTCCCATGCTCCTCTATTTGATCATCACTTTATTTGTATTAGTCCCTTAGCTCATTATTTTACATTTGTTAAATAATCCAGGTGCTCCTATTTTTTAGCTTAAGACTATTTACTTTGTTTTTTACTTAATTCAAACTATTAGATTCACTACAAATCTTATGATTATCAAGC